CCCCCCCCCCCCTCATCCTTGATTTTCGTCTGTGCAAAAATAATAGTAGAAGAAAAATGTGTTCAAACCCTATTGCAGGAATTGTGATTTTCATAATATGTTGTGGTCCGGAGATAATAGTAGTTGTAGCAATTAGATAGACATTGACCTTCAAGATGCTGTCGTAGTGTATATTATATGGTTTTAGGACGAATGTACCGTGTATAATATAATTATTTGTTTATTTATTTATTTGAATTAACACCACACGGCGAACAAAATATTAACAACTAAACAATTATAATAGATGATATATAACTTTATTGAGGAACGGTAAACAGTTAAAAGAAACACGATCTAGCAAAGACGTAATATAGACATAATATATTATATATCATAAGCACAGTTTGTTAGTAACTCTTATAGATCTGAAATTAATTTATAACACTCGTGTTTTCAATTTACATCTTGGAAATAAGGTGTATTATGTATTTTGAACTGTAAAGCTGATAATAATCAATGCATTTTTACAATGTTCACCATAAATAAATGAGAATTGTTCATATATTGTGAAGACATCTTTATTTTAAATAGGTAGTGAATCGTGGAATAAAAACAAACATGACTAATGTGTAGCAAGCTAATTATATAGATCTCAGTCTATGGTTGGATCGATGATAGGCGCAAGTAAAGATTGATGAAAACTGATAGATACTGTTGATTGAGTTGGGCATGTATAATTACTAGCGACGTTTTTTCTTTCCAAGTCCTGTCCATAAAATGCCCGGGTCGTGATTATTCGTGCCACGGTATGATTCCCCATCGTCGTTTCTTACAAAATTCCTCACATTATCCGATGGTTTACGTCCTCGAAAATAGTTTCCAGGGTAAGAAGTATCTAAAATAAACGTAAATCAAGTTATAAGATTTCAAAAAAATCAATAAGACAGTCACGATCATCCCATATGATTATACATCATAGCACAGTTATTTAAAGTATTTAAATATATAATGCCTATACAAAGGTTATAAAAATAAATGTTGTCTCTAAAAAGGCTTTAATACTATAGTCTATACTCTATAGATAAACTAATTTACTTGTACAAATATGAAGTTTTCTATACTACAGTGCTAATATTTCAAATATGTAGTAGATATAATATTAAGATTTAGGAACCACGCAATGTGTACGTTTTTAAAATGCCCGTTTAATGAAACACATTAAATGTAATGTACAATTTATTGCCTTATTCGGTGCTATTCAAAACATATAGGTATTCATATCAATTAAAATTCCACTTAAATTAAATTATAAATGTTATTAACGCATTCACATATACCTATTACATCATACGTAATCAACAAACTAATTCAATCAGTTTAATGTAAGCCCATCAAAAACAATAAACAATATTAATAATTAATAGTTATTAGTTAGTAATAAAATTTGAAATGCATAAAATAGTTTTTTTAAGGTTTTATAGTGTTAGAATGTCCTTATTTTAGTTATTGACAATAATTTATTACTAATTGATAACTATATAATATATTTATATGATTAATATCGTTAAATGATTTATAAAATTACAAAGTATCTATGCATTATTGTACTTATTTTTATAATTACTCATCAGGTATATGCATATTTCTAAAATTATTATAAATATAATATAAGTGTAAAAATATCACTAAATAATCCCTTTTGACGATTTTAATGTAATTTTTCATTTTTGTGGAGTTAGTTGTTTAAAAAATATTTAAAAATTATGAATAAAACTAAAAATAGTTGATTTGTACCTATATAATAGTCTATAACATATTAAAATAGTTAATTTGTTACATTTTATTAAAACCACAACTGTTAAAAGATTTTCACTGACCACTGTACGCTTATATTTTATACCAATTCGGCATTTTTAATTATTACATTAATGTAATATTTTGCTTTCAAGCCCGTGTAATTCTTCAAATAATTAATTCTATTTTATTCGCCACTTTTACTTTATCGTAATATAATTACTTCATACAATTAAATGTACAGTTTATTATTCTAAAAAGTGTGGTCCGCGGAAAAATGTAAATAAAAAGACAACAATTTACAACTATACTATTGTTTTGAATGAAGATTATTATTTCATGATAATAATAATTGTTGTTGAAAAATAATAATATTTAACCTTATAATAAAGCTCTAATTAAGAAAATAAATTAAAAACAGTAATTAAAATACTATCATAATGTAGTTGAATTTGTTTTTAAAGTTATAGTTAAAACCACGTAGTAATTTAAGAGTTAGTTAAATATGGAAGTACAACGTTATTATTATCTACAATGTTCCGTAAATTTGAGCCATTCCCATGTTGTATCATTCGTCAATATTCGTTGATTGGTTAATATGGCAGGTTAGGTAGGGTAGAAAATGGGCGTTCCATCGAAATTTAATAGTAGCGTCCTCTCTGGACAAATATGAATTAAATTATATTTAATCATATACATTTATACGCATATTAAATGTTTAAAATGTCAACTATAGATATTAAAAATATATTTAAATATCATAATATATGCACATAGCACAATGTCTCAAACAGTTTTTACATAATATTATACGTTTATTATGTTTGTGCTAACTGTAGGTTTGCTCATAGGATATTAAAATTCACTTTTTAATGAAATCAGCCGAGTAATTCACGTTGGATAAATTCCAAAGTCATGACTCATGGATTTAGAGATAAAAACAACTGCTGTGTGTCTGTTTTCGATGCAGATGCGTCAAGAGTTTATTTCTTTGCTGTTTGTCTAGTTATTTGTTCTAACGAATATAACAAAATATATAACGGGCATTGCCATTTGAATAAAAAAAGTGAGCCGTCGTGGTATGCCTGGCAGTAATGTGGAACATTAAAATTATTTTGTATAGAAAATATGCATAGAAATTGAAAGAATGGTCTATTAAAGGAAATAAACATGGCATTGTCAAAAACAAAGTATTCAGATTTGTTAAGAAAAATTAATCTTTATTTTAAAGGCACGATAGATGTTTCACGCGTGTGGCTGCACTCGCGCATCGCCCTTTCACATAAAAAATTAATAACATTTTAAAAAAATGTGTTGTGTATACAACATTTTTTAACGTAACCCCTCTCAAATCTGTGTACGCCACTGTAAGGGTGGAATATTGTAACAAAATTCCGGTAAACGATGCCTAACAAAAGATTGATATATAATTTAAAAGCACTACCGATACGCACTGTCGATCCTGCAGGACATTTGAACAAGCATTAGCTGAATTCTTTAGACCATCCGCAACAACACCTCATTGTCGCTTGATAAAATTATACGACCTACGGGTAAGTAAGAAATAAGTCTCACAAATTCAGTTCAGGCATATAGCCTCGGGCGAGAGCCCATGACTGAGAAAAAAATTATACTTATATTGGTGTGCACTCTTAGCACTAGACTCTTTTATATACACCGAAGCGACGTGGCAGGTTACAAACAAATTGGCAACTCAGATGACTAAGCTTCGGGCAGTCCTATTCCCAAAACAAAACATATTCGGAACTAAGTGTATTTGTACGGACCATGGAATTCACCACGAAGACGTAAGGCTAAAACCACCGCAAAACCCGCTGGGCATGTATCGTCAATAAAGTAAGTAGATGATAATAATAATATATTGGAATATTACACAAGTTTAAATATATTCATAACTTATAACTTAATCATCAAAACTATCTTAACGTGCGGTTTAATTTTCAATTTAATACTGAACATTATCTCCTCAACTCGGCTCAAGACTTACTAAAAAATATTTAAAATTAATATTAAAAAAATACATATTTAAATTATTCTATACTATAATAAATTTATCTATAAACTATAAAGTGTGAAATTGTTTTAGTAAATTTGTATAATTTATCCACTTATTGCACATTTACATTTTATTATTTAATAATTAATACAGGTTAAGCTTTATTTAAACAAACTTATTAAATTAGTAGGTATTAAAATGATTAAATAAATTTAAAGCATGAAATGTTCATAAATTCAACCATTAAGTTATATTGCTCAATTTTAAATTGATCACCTCCAAGGCTCTAATATAACACTTCTGTAACATTTAATTGATTACAATTTATTTAATTAGGTACTACATATTTAATGGATTTAATCATTAGTTAAAATTATAATTTCTATTATTAAGAACTAGGTAGATATGGACTTTGGGAATAATCCTATTAGCGAATATTTAACCGATTGAAAACATAATTTAATTATAAGTTTTATAATATTTGATTATGTTTTGAAAAATGAAAATATGTTGAATTCCCTTTTTTAATAAATTAGAATTTTAGACACAAATATACATTAAACATACTACAATTATTAGAGCAAATTTTGTCCAAAATTTTTTTGTAACAAAATGTATGATATTAAATTCATGGTAATATTGTTTCAAACCCATCATTATTGTGAGTTTATTTATATCGTGGTTCTAAGAGATGGAAAAATATTTCCAATATAATATTACTATTATGGTAATAAACCACATGAGTAAATAATACTTTAAAGCTTAAAAATTATCATGATAACCTTGTTAAATGGACACATAATTTAAACAGTTTGATAACATAAAAGTCATAAAAGAAATCTACATATATTATTTTTATATATGTATATAATATGGTCAAATATATCACATTAATTTAATAAAAAAATTGAGTGAAATTGAGTACTAAATTGTAGACCCAAGGCAAATAAAAAGTAATTACTCCACGTTGTTCAAAACAATCAACTTCTGAGTTATAACGTACCTACGGTATTAAATAATTAGATACGTATGAATAATTAAGATTTAAAAAAAAATGAATAAACGGTTTTAAAATATTGGAAATAAAAATAAAATAATTAATGGGTAATGTCCATCTTGTGAGATTCACAACAGTAGTTAAAATAAAAGGTTTGGAAATGTAATTTATAATTTCTGTTCGGTTTGAATACTAAATTTGATACAAATCTTAAACGAAAGCAGAGAACCTAAAATATTCGATAAAAGTAATTAATTAATTATTTTTGAGTTCAATCACTTATTCGGATAAAAGGAGTGCTCTGAAAGTATCATATAGCTAAAGAATAGATTGGAAATTCGACACACGTTATACTCTAAAAAGGTCGTACTAGGAATTTTCACTTGGTATTTTTTTAGAATATTACGGAAAATAACAGTGAGACATACGGCAAAACATTTACGTAGAAATTAATTATTGTAACTTATTTTATACACATAATCAATAAGTATGGATTTCAATTTATACATTTATAATAACCATTATAAATAAAACAATTGTCAACAGTTAAAAATTATCAAAAATACTTATATCATACAATGTAATTGCATAATATAATTTAATTTATATTTTATATTTTATATCACTCACTAATATTAATTTGGAACTTGATACATATTTAATATTTATATTATATTAAATAAATTATATGAATGGAAATGAGGTTACACTCACCAGACGATTGTATAAGTTGTACCTACTACTGGGTGCGAGAAAAAAATTCAGTTACTTTGAATATTTTTATTCATTTATTTATCAGTCTATTTACGCCAAATGGGAGTTTAAATGGTTACAAAAAGGTTACAGTTGATAAGTCAAAGATAAAATTGGAAATTTGGAAATAACATATATCGCCGAACACAAATTTAACTGACAACCACAGTCGTGCTCCGGTGGCCAACGTACTGTTAATAATTCATTTTAATACTTTAGGTAAATTGCGCGAAGAAAAAAAATTTCGCACATCCCACACCACATCGATTACTACATAAATTTCCTAAAGTAAATCTAATAATTTTTCGGTGGGTTCTCAAGCGGTCAAATCTAGGCGGTGTCTAAGCCGATTATTTAAATCGGATTGTTGTTACGGCTGCGTATAATATTATATAATATAACAAAATATATAGGTACCATGGCCCCGCCACGTAACGGTGAACGAGGAAAACAATTACTCCTAGACCGACGGGTTGATGTATTAAACGTGTAAACCACTGGTCATTCGCCTATTCCTATACAATATACCGGCTACAGCTTATTTGAAATCCGATTAAATATGACAGATTAACCTCTCAAGAAAACAAGCTTCCAATTATGTTTACCCCAGCTGCAACTCGGTCTGCGTGTTGATATTATTCATTACGGAAAATCCCCGCGAAGTGCGATTATAATTTATAATATGTAAAATTATTAGTTTAACATATTGTTATGTATGTGTATTTACTACCAGCTATCACTTGTCTGCAGCCGTTGCCGAGGAACAATTTCTCAAATGGTGTATTCAATTGCATTGAAATGAGACAATTATTAAAAAATACTTTCGCAACCGATCAAAATAAATTGTAGGATTGACGGCTTTTAGACCATATGTTTATTGTATATTATTTTAATTTCTAATCGAGTGCGAAATGTATCTTTTGTCCTCGGCGGCCCTACGCAAATTTATAACTACATGTATTTTTTCTTTTGGGTTTTCAAAATGTGTGGCGTTCATAGCAAACGTTTTGTTGTACTCTAATATTATATTAAACTATATATTAATTTAAAATGTCAAGTTAAATATATGCTGGAAAAAGCAGATGATACATTACCAAAGATAGAGATAAGTTGGCGAGTTTAACATTTGTATACGGTTTCTGTTTGTCTTATGAGTATATTGTTTGATGCGTAAAATGTATAAGAACAAGATACATTTGAAAAATATGTAAAACTATTTAACCCTCGTCAAACAAGAAATCAACGAGACGACTAAATCTATGGCTAAAACTGGCGAATAAAAAATAGTATGCAAAAATACATTTTATCCAAATCTTAATATCTGAACCATAATAATTTTTTTTATAAAACTATTAATATTATTCTGCGTACGATTTGGTAGATAATAAGTATTATACCTATCAATTATAATGCATAGGAAAACGTTTAATCATATACGTGAAAGTAATGTTATAGATAGAATGTTGTACAAACATGGAAGAAAGGTAGAAAATTAAGCGAGGGTGTCGAAAACGGTGACGTAATTTAAGGTAAATTCCTGGCAGTGTAGGGGTATTTTCGAGCACGTAAATTATTTTTAAACAATAAACAGCCACTGATACTAAATATAAATATAGAATCAATAAATACAACGCGAAAGGAAAAATATACAGGAGTAATTCTTTCTACTCAAAAATACATAAAAAATAAGGTGGCTATTACATAAAATAAGAGATTTCAGAAAAAAAAGACTGATAAAAGTGAAATAGTTCAACATCATAAAAAATTACGATACCTGCAGAATGCTCATTAACATAATCAAAGAAGTATTTAAATTATTATTATTATTATTAGTAAATGTAAATTATACTAAGTATTATACTGTTATAATAAGAGTTAACTGAATAGGTACATGTTATATAATATAATATTTGTTACACACAACCAAACCAAATTAGCCATTAGGACATTTCAAACAAAAGCTAATTATCTGAGGTGTTAACTATTTTGTTTCTTCTAATTTAATTAAATCGTGAAGTGTCATCGATAATCAAAAGGTGGCTTCATCCTTAAGTTATTCATGCTGTATTTTTAATCTGTACCATCACTATTTATGTATTTATTCATCACACAGTTTCTATATATTTCTTAATAAATATGAACAAAAATTTGTATTTACATTGGTTTTTTAAGTTAAAGCAACTATAGAGCCTAGAATCGTAAGTTGTTTACTAATAAAATTAATTTATCGTATACCTTAGTTTCTAAAAAGAATCAAATTATTTTATTTTGGAATTTAATTAATGTTTAAAGTAATTTCATAATATTAGTAAATATTGACAATTATCTAATGCAATTACCTAGAGCATATTTAATTGAAACAAATTAAGACGATAATTTAAAAAACAAATGATTATTATTATAATAATAATCAAAATTATTAACGCTTTACTTCCATCAATTTATTTATAAGGATGTTTTAATTTAGACAATCGGTTTTTGATAGTTTAAAACATTAAAACGTTAGACTATAATTATTATGTTCTCAATTAATGATATGTTGTAACAATATCATTAACAAATATATACACAAAATATGTGTAAACGTAATTTAATTAAAATGTATTTCAATGAAAACGTAAAAGATTTATGAATTATGATACTAGTATTATGAAAATATATTTAATTAAAATTTGTAAATGATTATTTCTTACCATATTTTCTTTGAATATTGTATTTGGATTGTTGGTTTTCTTTCATTTGCTTAACATTAGCACTTATATTATCAAAAAACTGCTTCAAATCACTCATTACATCTGTTTAAACAAAACAATATTTAATAATTTTAGTACAAAGTATATTCAAGAAAAACAGTTCATACAAAGATTGTACATTTTTTTTATAATTTTAGATCGTAGGTACATTTTTATTTTTTTAAGGAAATATATTTTCCAACCTATACATAAAAATGAGCATACAATAGTTTAATATTAAATAATTTATTTTTAATTAACGTTTAAATTTATTAAAATGAAAATATATTCATCTGAAATTCGTTAACAATAAGTCACATTGCAACGACAATTTGAATTTGCGTATGGGATTCATTTTCAGTTCATTCTTTAGCATACCTAATGTTGAATATATATTTAAATGTGAAAACAAAATAAACATGCATACAACAATATTATTAGTTATGTATTATATTCTAAAATTTAAGTATAAAATATTTAGATACCTATACAGTATACACACATTTTCCCCAAAAATTGAAGTATAAATAACAGAAAAAGTATATTATATACCCACCATTTTAAAATGTATAATATAACATTGGAATTCGACAAGGTATATTTTAACTGCGTTAAATTTTTATTTTAAAGATAAAAAGTAGGTACCTAAGTATATGCAATTACGGCGGAAAGCTATGTAATAATATTCTCTCATCACGTGCAGTTGTTTAAAGATAAACGTATTTATGTCCACGTTTGTGTTTAAAATAAAACGCATTTTGTATTTAAACATTTCTTTGAAAATCGTCCTATATTATTAATGTACCTAAGTTTATTTTAATATTGTTATTGTATAAGAGTTTTTAATTTCGTTAAATCATGTAATGCAAATTAAATAATAAACGATATTTTTTTTTGAAATGTATTTCAATTCCATTTAAAAGTTAGATTAAAAAAATATTAAATCATAAGGACGTGGGAGAAGTGATATATATATAGTTTAATACAAATTATCAAAAAGATATAATATTGATTATTGATGATAATTTTTTGTTCGTGACTGTATAGTAATAATTTGTATTTATAGTTCAATATCATCAATATCATCACCTATGTGTATGAAGAACCCGTTAAATTAAATTTTGTAAAAAATTACTTTGTTAAGGACATTCATGAATAATATGATTAACCGCTAAGATTTAGTGAGGCAGATACATGCGTGCTCATTTCCATTTAATATCAGATAAGCAAACATAATATAGTAAGAAACTTCTCCAGAATATTAATGCGCGAGATGAATTAATAATTACATACAGGTTGGAATTTCGGAACTCATTGCATTTTTTTCTGCAGAGCACAATAATATAATAAAATAATTTGTACAAATACATTTTTATCAAAAAAATTGTGCAAAATAAAACAAAATTAAATAGTAAATAAATAAAAATGAGTGTATACCTACTCTCTTCGACTTACCAATACTTTCATATGGAGTTAGAGAAGTTTGTGTTCGTTTCATCAGAGATGAAAAAATGTCGGAACTTTTAACCTTCTTTTTATTTAATATATCTTTAGGGATATTACGTTCCAATATTTCTTTATCAAGATATAGTAGATCCCATATTGATTTAAGATTACTTTTTTCGATACCTAAAATAATAATAATAATACAATTTATAAATATGTATCAAAGATAGTATATATTTTTATTAACATTACATATTATTTCAGAGTAGATTTTAAGAAAATTATGAAAATACTGTGAATTTTATGAAATACAAATGTATATAACATATATTTATTAATGTTCAACTCATTAAATTTAGTTATTAATAGTTCAGTTGCACATATTAATAGTAGGTAATAGGAACTTTGAAAATGTTGGTCATTTCTTGGTAACGTAAAATGTGGAACATTGGTATTTAATACTAAAATTATTTCAGAGTTACTATTTATGTAAATAATTTTAACTTGTGTTGTTAAATTAGTTTTATTTGTTACCGTTAAAAGATATACAAACATATATTAGTCCAAAAACATCCACCAGCCCGAGAGAGTTAATACTTCAATCATGGATTAAAAATATATACTTATATTACTCTATGTTAAGTCAAATTGTAAGCCAGTTTCCATATTTTGATAGGCTCATTATATCCTTAAATGCCATATTGGAAAATGAGATCAACCCCTGATTTAACTACAGTATCCAAATCACGAACAACCAATTGACAAGAAATAATACGTACCTATATGGGTATACTGTTTGAGTCCGTGCTACGATTTCTCCTTAAATTCTTAAATTTCCTAGCGGAATATGAGATAAATAACCAATTTAATTATGGTATCCATCCAAAATTATGAATAACCAATCGACAATCAAAATAGTATGAGTATACTATTTGAGTCTGTGCTATAAATGGGTGGTATTTATAAGCCACTGTGGTAGTGTAACAAATAACTTTTTTTAACGGGATCTTGTATAGGCAAAACAGGTACACGTCAATCGGTGTTAAGCTGTTGAACTGGGGAACATAATGATATAGTAGTATACGCCACTATAAGGGTAGATACCAACATTTTGACTAAACTATGATAAAAATCGCAATGTAATGATTCAGTAATAAAAATAGAAAATGGTCATATTGATAAATAAATCTTAAATAATTAAACTTAAAACTTTATTAAAGTTCCCAAGTAGACATAAAAAAAAACAACAATTCAATAGTTTAAAAAACTGCAAAATAATATATAAATAGTATAAATATAGGCTATAATAAATAGATATTTGCTAAGAGTTAAATCTGGAAAAAGTTAATCTATATTTAATAACGGATTTTATTCGAAACCGTTCAAAGAAAAGTATTATAAGTTGATTTAAAACAACTGCAGTTAGCGTGTTTGCACCAACAACAATAAAACAACAACTATAAGTTTTTATTTTCAAGATATTATATGAAACGTTATTTTTCAATTTAAAATATATTTTTGTAACCAATGATCTTTTTCCATCATCTTGTAGAAAAGTTTCTATTTGCCTTCCTTATCTCGTTTTTTTATTTTGACCATGCGAGAAAAGCACACACGTCACAACAAGTGAAATTCATATAGGTCAAAAATGAAATATTATGAACTTAGATCCACATATTTTTTTATATATAAACTACCTGTAAATAGTTGAACTTGAAAACTAAAAATAGAAATATGAAATTTCATATACGTGATTTGGACTCAGAGTGAGCTACCAAGATCAATGCGCGTCGAATTAAAATCTACTATTTTATTCTATTATTTATTTAATTTTTAAGGAAATTACATAGGCTGTTAAATAAAATATTTAGATTTTAATTTACTATCAAAACTGACAATAACTTGTTCTGTTAAATATACAATTTTGCACATTTTTTAATTATTATATGATCAAAACTGTTTTTAATCTATTGAATATTTTTTTTTAATTAAAAAATCAATACTTTTACAGTGAATTTGTGGACTGTTAAAATGTTTTTTATTGTTTTTATACATTTTAAATATAGAACATGTTATAAATTTATAAAAAACTATAAATACCATACACCATATTTTTATAAACCTAAAGCATATTATTACAGTTGTTAATAAATTGTATTTTCCCAAAGCCAAAAAACTTTTTGAGAAAAAACGTACAAGCTATAAATCACAAATACTCTTGCTAATACCTAAATCCAAATACTAAAATTATTTTAACCCACAAATATTTCACATTTGAATTCAAATATATTTTACAAAGTTTATTGAATTCAAAAATATTTAAATGAATATTTTTCTATTAATAATTTTTATGACTGTAACTTCTCAATTCAAAAAAAATAAGAAATATATGAAATTAAAAGATTAGATAAGAATTGGTTTTGAAAAAGTATTTTTACAGACAATTATTCTTTGGGTGCTATAAAAATGTCAATAAGTTATAATATGCAGTACCTCTAAAAAGATTAGGAATTGATTAATGTGCATTCGAAAGTTCATTTTTGAAATTGTTAATAGTTTTTGATAACATCTTGACCATTTCTGGGTTCACCGAGGTCCGCTTACAATTGTATTTCGATTTTCAAATGTAATGATTTATTGCTGCCTTCAATTTTTTAAATCCTTCGTCCCAGTGGACCGCATAACTCTCGACTTTCACATGATCAAATCTAGGTTTTAAAATATATGCTAGTACCAATATAGAGTTATACCCCAATATTTTAGTTTCATAGGGCTTTAAATGAGAGAAATTATAATTAAAAATTTACATATTTTAATTACACGCCTGCCTTCTAATCGTAGAATCTAAATTTCTCTAAATAAAAATGCCGAACCCCATCGCAATACATACATTTTGTTAATTACTCATTTACTAGTACACAAATAATACTATTTGAATTTACTGTTCGAATTAATAGTTTAAAAGGTTTAGTATACGAAAAATGCAGTTCTAACTAATGCATACATTTATGGTTGTCACTCCCCGAAATTCCTGGAAAGAAATATTCCTTTTGCCTGAAATTCCTGACAGCGCCAGAATTGGGAATACCAAAAACTGTGAAAAATTACAATTTATTTCAGCTATAGACACTCATGTCTCCTGATTTATATATAATTTTATGTACCTAATATAAATGTAATAATGTTATATTATTCTATTTATTTTAATAATTTCAAAATGTATAAGAAAATCCTGAACCAATTTAGTACAAAATAGTTATTGATCAGTAAGTACAGTTAATATGATTAGTAGAAAAAAAGAGTTATTGTGTTCAGTGTAAGTACCTAATACTCATGTATAATACTTCTTAACTACTGAAGGAACCTTTTAAAGTAGTTTAGCAAATGTCTTGTTGATTATTCATTATTGTTATCGTAATACTTAAGAATGCCAACGAAATATTCATATGACAATGGCATACACCTAGTGCAGGGTGGCCGTATTTTGTTTTACTTTAAATGGTACAAACATTTATTGCGTCATTTTAATTTTAATAAAACGGTCAACGGTTTAAACATTATATTTTTCCGATATCACACAATGGTCACCAATCTACGACGTATAGAATAACTTAATTTTACAAATTGGAATGATTAATCGAAAAAATTATCGATTGACGATGAGTGATAACAAAAATGTGGTCGTACGGGAATTGAAAAACAATCAACGTGTATATGTCAATAATTTATTGACTTCACCAAGCCAAAAAATGATTTCAAGAGTTTTCGAGTTAATCGTGGAATATACTTCATTATTTTATCATTTATCAAAACAATGTTGTTTTTGTACTAGAAATATTTTGTAAATGACAAATTGATGTTGACATAAATAATTAAAGTTTAATTCCGGGACAATTGGCGTACCGGAACACTTTGCCGGGACCCCCGGAAAATAATATATTCAAAACGGACACAGTCCTAACCTAATGACCAGCTCCACATCAATTTTATCTATTCGCTGGTTACCACCAATTACCATGGATGCTTTGCATACGGTTCATGTCGTGTTGCGTATACTTTAGATATGAGTGATATGACTATATAATATGAGCTAAGACAGAGGTCTTCAACCCTTTTAGGCGGCGGATCATCTATTATTTTTCAAAAATCTCGAGTGTCCTGGAATTATATAATAATAATAATAAAAAAAGGTGCCGGTCCAATGTGCGACCTACACATACATTTTCGGCCCAGTGTGCGACCTACATACAGGTACCATACTGCATTTTTAATAGTTATTAATTAATTAGTTATTTTATCCTTTAAATTTATCGATATTAATAGTTATTATAGTTATTAATTAATTATAAAATTATTATTTTATAATTAATTATCCTTCTTGTTTGATAAGAATTCATCGTAATTTAATATATAATTTATGTCATAAAAACATCTTTCATGTCTGATAAAAATTCGTCAAATATAGTTTGCTTATTTGGGTGAAGAGATCTCCACCACTCCTCTTTAAAGTATCTCGGTAATAATGGAGATGCGCCGTTTACTCTTATTTCATATCGCTTTTTCACTATTTTCCACAAACATTCTATGGTTTGGGTATTGGCATTTGTATAAGGATCAATAAACCATTTTTGATGATTCACAGTACTGTGTATGTACCCTTCATTGTTTAATGACGAATAAGCTCTCCATTCATCACTATGGATTATACTTCCTAGTTCTACTTCATTTTTAATTATAGGCATTAATGTTGCTTTGTCACGTTTTTCTACAATGAATAAACGTCGTTCCAAAATATCAGTTTTTTTGCAATAGAGTCCAAAAACCCACGGGCCAGGTACACGTGTACCATAATTTTTTGCACAAACTGCATTATTACTATTATTATCTTCTTTTGTATTATTACTATCGTCACTATCATTTTCAGTTACCTCATTTGGTCTAATATCACCACATCAAAGACGACCAGGGCTGTATATGCGTTTTCCTTTGAATAATGATTCATCAAAATCACAATAACGCCGTATTTAAAATTACTAAAACCAGTAAAACTCACAATAACGTAATTCAACAAAGACAGTGAGACCGTAACTGAATGCCGAACGATTTACAATTATCGCGTTTGTATCTCTTTTCTGTTCACAAAAATAAATATATTTCCCCATGTTATATAGGAAAATACACAC